AAAATGTAGAAATAAAAAGATCCTAAGCGCTCTATATTTTTTCATTAAATTGCAAACTTGATGAGATTCAAGAATCAGAGTAAATAATAAGTTGTATATAAAACTTGACGAGATTCAAGAGTAAATAATAAGCTGTATATAATCAGAGTAAATAATAAGTAAATAATAGGTTGTATTTAAAAACCGATTGTTTCTTTGTTCTTTTTTTTAAGGAAAACGATGTTCTGCTATAACGTCAAAAATCATCTTGAACCTGTCTCAAGAATTATAAAATTCAACCGCAAATTTATCCAAGTGCAATACCTATCTCAAAGTTGAACGTACATTCTAAAGTACACGTATTTTACACGTAAGTGACGTTGGAAAGGACGGAATAAGTAAAAATTATTTGAAGTCAACTCTGAAGGATACGTCGCGTTGGGTGTGGCAAGACTTTCTAACCAAGATTAAAAATTGCTTCCTTTGTAACCTTTGTGACAGGATGCCGTGCATTGTCGAGAAGGAAAATCACCTTTCTTGTGTACAGTCCCCCTACGTTCTACCTCATCGTTTGAAATATGAAGTTGGCGTAAGTCACGTGAAATTAGATAAACCGGGGCGGAATTTTTTTCAAAATTCTGCAACAGAACAGATAAATATTAAAATTTAAAGCGTTGAAAACTCGCGTTTCACTCGTACGTTTCTCCGAAAGGGAAAGATTATAAAAACGTAAGTAGGAACAACACAATTTTTAAGCAAGTGGTTTAAAATATAAATATGAAGTTTATTAATTTAGGAACTAAAGGATACTGAAAAAGTACGAATGACAAAAAGATATTAAACTCTCACTAGACAGTCACGCTATCACAACTCTCTCTCTCTCTCTCTCTTTAGCCAAAATATTTTATCTCTTAAGCCTTATATTTTATCCTTGGACACCAAAACAAGCAGTTCCAGGAAAAAATTCCGAGAATTTCAAAGTTGTCTCACCCCACAAAAATTTGCCAATTTATTTAAAATCACGCGAGAATACAATTTTTGTATTGGCAACGTCGCAATAGCAGTAAAACACAAAAAGATTAATAATAACTCAGCATGTTGAAATATTTAGTGGGGAAAAGGAGGAAATATTTAGTCGAATTTTGAAAAGATCTCAACAGGCTATTTAACATACTGCTGCAGAAACAAGATAAGAATTCAATTGTATTTGACAATTTCTTCGCGACCTCGTTCACTTTCAGAGAAGCGAATTCAGATTCCACGCGATACTGTTCATTTCCTTTCTCTTTTTTTCAATCGTGCCGCGAAGTTTGTTTAAAATATCGGTTACGTGGTTTCACCGGCAAACTGTTATCGAATCGGCGGGCTGCACGACCGTATCAAAATTCCGGCCGTATCGCGATATATCCGATAAAGTATGAAAGGCAACATTCATTTCAATATCCCGTCGTAAACATTCTCGTTGGTAGTCGTCGATCGATAATAGCAGAAAAATCGGATGAAAAGCTCCTTCGTACCACGAACGACAACTCTTGGTATCGAAGGAGAAGCGTGTATATCATCACACGACGATGCAAACCGAACGAAATCCTCCTTTCACTTGTTGTCACTCGTGTCTCGCGATAACACCGCGTATTGTTGTGTTTTTTTCAAACGTTTGCAATTAGCTGCACGCTCTTTTGTTCCTTGATATCTGAGAGACACAATGGCGTACACCTGCGTATCTCGAGTTGAGACAATCATCTCCTTCCTTCCTTCCTTTCCAGTCGTCGATCTAACAGATTGACGACTTGTCCGCGTTCGAGTCTCCTGGCTCGCTTTTAATTTGCACAGAATGGCATCGAGCAACCGGGTAACCTCGTTCCGAACAAGGGAAACGTGGCTGTTGGGAAGTAAAGATCCACTTTTTGGTTTTTCAAGACTATGTAATTGCGAGAGAAATAAATAAAGAAAGGATTTTTGTACATTCGTCGAAAGTTTAAAAGTGTAAAATCACTCGCACTATGTAATAAGTGCATATAAAATATTCAAAGTATAATACTTTTCATAATGTAAATTTCTGCGAATTTGACACGTAATAAAGTTCTATTTCTGAAATATATTGTGAAAAATGTGAATTTAAAAATTCCTAAAAAAGTCCAGACATGACTATTCAAATATACGAATTAAAAACTTGAATAAATTCAACTTGACAAACATTCAGAAATTACATTATTATTTGATCCTATATAGTAATAGAGTTAAATCAGTAAGAAGAATTATCTCAAATGTTACAATCAAGAAGAGAAAGTTGTCCCTTTTCGCAATCCTTCCTCAGGTTAAAAATTGAAATTCACCAACATCCGAAAGGAACATATCTATTTCTGCAGAATCATTTTTATCACGCGAGACTAATACTTCTGTATTGGCGATCTGTATTAATTTTGTACAAAACGCGCAGACTTTTCCGGCAAACGCTTAAACGGGGAGTGCCGATTATTTCACGAGAAACGGCTCGCACGAACAAAACAACGGAAACGAACTCGACGCGCGTAAATTAAAATTTTCTGCGAGCCTGCAAATTATAGGCCTTGATTACGGGATTAAACCGCAATAAATTCTGACCCATATTACAGGATATCGGGATTTCCAGCAATTCCCGCAGCTCTTTGCACAATGGGCGCAAATATTTGCCCCGGTATAACACATTAAGGTTTTCCATTTTCGTCTAACTTGAGAGGGGAGGGGAGAAAATATATATATATATATATATTTTTAATTATGAAACGAATCGTTGTAATGAAAAACTCGCACGCTTTGTACGTTCAGTACGTGAAGTACATTCAAATCAACGCATCACCGACGAAATTACTGTTAATTGATAGCGTTTAAAAGATGAATTTCCTTTTAAAAACTTGAGTTTCTCAGACGGGAAAGTGAGGAAGAATCACGTTGTCAGTTTAATCATTGGATTCATATAACCGGGGCTTGCAATTAAAGATGCGATTTATCGAACATCGGCTCGTACACTGGTATAGGAAATACGATATTACGGGGATGGTTTCATAAAAAATTAGATGGCGAGCAACAGGTAACGGGTTACAAGCCCAATTACCGGCAATAAATTAATATTATTGTTTATCGGCTCGGTTGTGTGCTTATTACGTGAATATGTCCGAATATTAATTTCTAATATTATCTGAATTACTTCAAAGTGGAATATCTTCTCAATCGTGTTGTTCTTCAGCAATTAATCTTGTAAATCGGCGGATTGAATTCCGAGCCTCGGCAAAAGGTACACGAAATCATCAGATGATAACTTCAAACAAATTTTTAATTTATAAACTTCACCAATTTTCTCAAATTTCTACGAATTTTAGAACATCTTTAAAACGTATGTACAATACGAAGTAATACGTGTACAATACGAAGTAATACATGTAGAATAATCAATAATACAAGGATGTAATCTAGAGAAAATTTCTGATATCACTCGGAGTTCCATCGAATTTGTACAAGAAGTCTGAAGAAATTCCTAATTAGCGTCATAATCACACGCTTCTGCGTTGACTACGAGCTCCTATATCATGATAAAAGTGTAACAAAATTCAGATTCTCAGGACTGTATGAAATTGTAACACGTACGAGGCAATTCTATCCAAAATCCAAACAACTGGAGCTCCAATTAGTTTCTAATAACCTGCTTTAATGTTCGAACTTTACCAGTCAAGAACGAGAAGCCTCGGACGTCGAGCGATACGTTTTTGGCGGGATTGCACCTGGCGGGACAATTAAAAACAGTCGTGCGGAAACACGACGTCGGGGGGAACGACAGCACTTTCGAAAGCAGGTAACTTGGATATCGGGGTGGGAATAGCAAAGTCGCGGCTACGAAGGAACCAGCACATTGGTTGTAGATGTTGTTTCACAATCGAGAATCGCCACGGTAGAGAAATGCCACGCGAGACGGTCCATTTCACCGGTACCGGTCTCTCTCGTGTAGCATCGCGGTCGTTAACGCAACGCGAAAACACGACCGTCCTCTACTTTATTTCGGCTTTTAACGGGAACAACAACAGCAACAACGTCAACAATGCTGCAACATCCTCGCCAACGCCCGCCGTGGACCTCAGTAATTTTGGCTGATTTTCGGCGTTTTCGGTTACACAACGGAGATGGAAAATCGGAGAAACAGACAGAGAGAGAATCGCCGATCTCTATCATGCTAATCCGACGAGATTTCGCGGCTCTCAGCTACTGATTTCAAGCTGGATTATGGCCAGTGCTGAATGACTGCTCTTCCCGTTTCAGAGAGAAAGAGAGAGAGAATGAGTAGTTCCATCTAGTCGAAAACTCGTTTTTTTATTCTCCTCAGGGTCGTTTGTTCCTTGTTTCAACGGTGGAAACAATGGCAATAGTGAATTTTCGCGAACTGTTGCTGCAGTCTGCAGCTGCGATTGCAGTTTCTAACGTACTATATAATGGGATATTGGTTTTGGAAATTTGAATTTGAAGCTGGAGTTCTGGTAGCAGAAATTTCTGCTGGCTATTGGTTCGATTACTGTATTATTGATAAATTACGGATATTTATCCATAAATGCATAAAAATTCGCAATCTATTAGACACCTAATGTAACTGACGTCATTACAGATAGAGATATTATAAGTTGATCACGTAAATGAAGGGCAGATCACGTTAGAGCTTGTTGGCCATGACATACGTTTACGATACTGAGATCATTTGCATGTTTGCAATAATTGTAATAATATGTGATGAAAACTAAACAGTGTTGCTGCTTCCAATATCTTAGTTAGAGATCTAAATAAGAATGACAAAAATAATCGAATTACTTTCTTAACAATATTTACGAACAAACAAAAAAATATTTGTCTATCTCTGAAAAATAATATAATACAGTTAGAAAAAACCTACGAAAGTAGAAAAATATAAGAAATATGTAAAAGATATAAAATTACTCAAACGTTCACAATTTTCACAATTACGAACGATAGAAAAATTTTTCGAACTTTTGGTTACTCACTGTTCTTGAAGTTCTCCGACACCGATGCATACTGCGTGCCGTGATGGTGACCCAATATTTCCAGATTCCTCGATTGCCGTCCTGAAAAAAAATGCACAATGGAAGAGGAACGTTAAAGACCGACTCCGCGATTAATCATAACGGTAAATTAAGGATGCTCCCGGGGGAATAAAGGGCTCGGAGCATTTTTCTCCTACTTCTTATCTCGATTTCCAAAGATCACCAGTCGAAATTCCATCCAACAATTCAAATGAATCCTGACCGTGGACAAAGAGCTTCCTAATGAAACGGACCGATATTTTCGACGAAAGCTTGATTTGTATGTACCATGATTTGTATATTTTTTTGTAAACATCGCATCTGCGACAGACGTTATTTCAGATTGCCATTGTAAGAAACTGCTAATCAGTCGAGCCTATAGTTTGTCCAAATAATTGACCAGACCGTGCAACCGTTACATGCAGTTACTCTTGGCCGACGAAACTATTATAGGAATGTTAAATTAGGTTTGTGGGAAATGCGTGTGAACGAGTACCGATCGGTATGTTAAGTGTGGTTGCGAGAGCGGTGTGAGGCTATGTAAATCGCGGTGCAATGATTTGATTTAGTTATATTAACGAAGATCATGCTGTTTGTTATTGGCGTGTCAATTGCTAGTATATGACCGTGCCCTGTAATGAGATTGTAACTGACGAGATTAGATCGTAGATACATTTATTTCACAACTTCGTGACTCTTGACTGCAGGTTACGCGTGCAGAGAGAGAGAGAGAGAGAGAGAGAGAGAGAGAGAGAGAGAGAGAGAGAGATAGAGAGAGAGAACTAACGATAGATGATCGTGTAATTTAGTTAAATGCAAAGGCGATGAAACTTTATAGACCATGTATGCATTACACGTATGTAAATTCATTTTCACGCAGAAGTGAAGATTAACTATTCAGAAACTAATTACTAAACTAAATCAAACTGTTACGATAACGGCTAAATCAAACAGTCACGTGTGCAGGAAAAATTCGATCTAGCGACGGGTAACACACGATTTCGTGAATATTCACAAAAGTGATGAAACTAATACTTATACGATACTAAAAATCGAATTTCCTTATGCAACAGTTAAGAATTTATTAGTCAATTGAGACTAAGAAAACAATTTTATAACTGCAAAGATAATGATAATGAACGAATGACAACTCAGCTACAGATTTATCGGTACTCTATGTTAACACAAGTCTCGTCTTTCATTTTTGGCTGTAATTTCCCCTGCGAATTGCCCCACGCAAGAAGCGAAGCTTCCACGGTTATTAAAATCAAAGGAAAAGTGATTTCGCTGCGTTTCCCTTCGCTGGATATCTCCAGGCGTTAAAAATGATAATTTAAAGTTGGAAATCGTGACAAGCCGCGATCGAAAGTTTAACGATATTCTCCGCGAGGACAACCGCACGCAACAATCCGCGCAACTTAGGGAGACCCGTGGCTCTTTTCACCGCGAAAGGTAGGAAAACCTGGTAAATAGGAATATCGCATGGCGCCGCCGGCGACTAACTTTTTTTGCGATGTCATTTTTTCCCTCTGTAACGATGTACTTGCAACATGCAATCGAACTTGCTCAAACTCATCCATATACATGTATATTTCTCTTCGGTTATCTTCGTTCGGATATCTTTATTACTTTGCACGCGAAAGGTTTGTTAAAGTATCACGTTAACCAGCTCGCGTGTAGACAATTTTTGTCGTGTAGAGTTTATGTAATGCTTGAAATAATATTTCTTAATAAAGGCATGTTACTCGACTATTATGCAGCAGCTAAATAAATTGCTTTGTAATAAACGAAATAAATCGCGTAGGGGAGACGTGTAACATTACAGACTATTCTCTTTTTTCTGCTGTAACCTAGCCTAGTCTCGATAAAAGTTAAATTTAAAAAATTTGATTTGTAGTATGGATAAAGAGGTCTTAATAAAAAGTTATTTTTTCCCTCGATTTTTCTATTATTCTGATTTAAATGTTGTGACTGATTACCGTCACGGTATTTTTGGATAAAAGCACTTCTTCGTGGGTTTTTTCGAGTCCTATAGTAATTGCAAAGTCCAGAAACAATTGAAACATATGCGTATGATAAAAGTTTCGTTTTCACCGGTTTAAATATTAGTTTAATATTTTCTCTGCGCCTTATAATATTTTTTTGATTGCCTCACTTGTGAGAATACTGAACCCTGTGTCGTTTGAAAAATTTCAGTGCACGAAAATTGCATTCAGCAAGGGTTGACATAACATATACACGTGTAAATGTACTTTCTTTGTGGAGCCGTTTCGCGTAAAATTCCGAACAGCAGCGTTCCATTTTCCCAAACTGCTTGGTCAAAGATTTTGTTTACATTCGGAACTGTCATGCGCAGCTGAAAATTAAATTCCCCATCCATTCCAGCCAATATCAAATGAAAAATTTCTTTAACTGTACATCTTACAAACGATCGATTTGAAAATATAACGACAGACCTCTAGTACTACTACTATTCTATTCATCTATTGATAAAACAATATACGAGTTATTTCATTTATATCGTTGGTAGTAATTTTCTCGTAAATCAAGAATACAACTCTTTCATTGATTTTTCTATTGGTAAATGTTAGAAAATATTTTGCTTCGTCGAAAAACGATGACAGTAGAATTTTAAACAAATCAATCGTCCATTTTAACTTTCCATTCTGCCATAGAAAGGCAATAAATGCTGTCGGGACAGTCATTGATTTTTCGTTATTATTTTACTGCAACGTCTATCTCGAAGTTCAAGGAACGTACTTGGAACAACCGATGACAATTATACGATTTTTCTAACCGTGGGGACCGTCAGTTATTGAAAAATAATACGTTTCGTCGGAAAGTCAAGAAACATGTATCACGGCACGTCAATAATTTCAGCGGCAACGATGAATCGCTAATAACTAAAAATGAAAGCTTGAGAAACAAAAGGGCCACGATGGGGCAGGGAAGCGATGAGGAAGATGGAAGGCCGGTGAGCGTAATGTAAACTTTGAAGTAGCGAAGTTTCCTTCTCTCGAAATTTGAGAAGATAAAGTTCATATTGCTCGGAGGAAAGCTCCGACTTTAAAGAGCAATTCCTATTTTACGAAACTGTATTTAAATCAATAAGGACAAGATTATAAGTCCCCAATGGAAAAACTTTCTCCATAATCACTTGCATTCAGGTGTCGGCAATTAGTAAACTTTACTGTCTTGCCTGCATCATCGTTTATCGTCTTGTCTCGAGGAATTCATTATCTTGAGGAAGTATCACAACGGCCGGGGAGAGATGCGTATTATTTTCACGTACTCGACGGCTTTCTTAATTATTACAACCGGTCCGTGCTTTCCATAAATTCTCGCACCGTGGAAAGTTTGTCTGAAGGGAACTGTCAGAGTTGAAGCTCGGAAAGAAATTTACGTTTTGGCTTCGTATTTTGGAGTGACGGGTTGATTTTGTGCAAGTTACTGCGTAACTGGAGTAACTTGGAGTGGAATGATATACTATATTAGGTTATTTTTTTAATTTTTATATTTGATTAATATTTATCCGAATAACATCATTGTCTATTCAATTTCTAAAACAAAATTAAATACTGATTTATCAAGATTTACAATCGGCAACTAAAACGACTTATATTTTGCATTCGAAGTTCCTAAAGCAAAATTAACTATGTGGTACCTAATCTGAACATCACTATCAAAAATATATATAATGTATATAAATTTCGTCTGAATGTGAATTTATAAAGAAATATAAAATTATGCTTTCGTATCTTCCTTTCGTTATTTCCAAGAATGAACAATACTCTAAACTGAATTTTACTCATTTTCTTATATTTCACTTGGACTCGCGTAGTTATTTAATATAACCAGCTACACCATGACGAACAAAAGATTGCAAAAAGCTAAGCGAAACACCCAAAAAAAAAAAAACGAAAAAGCAGAGAGAGAGAGAGAGAGAGAGAGAGAGAGACAAAATTATTTTCTAAAATTCGTCCCTTCGAACGGCGGTACTTCGCTATTACATTTCCGTGCGGAAGTTGATACGTTGTCAATACATTTCACCTGTCAAACCCGTGTATATCGATACTGGTATGTACGATTTCCAAAGTTCGCTTGCAAATTCCACACAATGGCTGCATGACGTACCGCGTACCTATGTTTTTTCGAGCCGAGCTCCGTTCGGATTAACCGCGAACACGGGTTTCGCAAACACGGCCCAGGGACTCTTCAATGGAAGTTGAAAACAATGGCTTGTGTTGGGAAAACGATTTCCAACGTGCCGCTATCAAAACATCACTCAATTCTCGAGCTCCTAATGTGCATTTTGCGACACTAAGAAAAAAGAAATTATAAACGAAACTCACATTTAGATCATTCTTACGCGTCTCGCTTGTTGTTGATAAGACACCAGCTTCAAAATTTCGAGTGTAAAATGAAATTTTGCTGAAATGCTTAATTTTGCCAATGTTGTTTCAAAAACTCGAAATGGAAATATAGATAAATTTGAAAGAAGTTATATTATTCTGAACGGAAGCCACGATCAGACAGAAAATAATATATCAAGTAACGAACTCTGTAACATGTAATAAGTAATTCAGCCATGAAAATAAATAATTTAAAAAGCATATACTTCAAGGAATCGTTTCAGCGCAAATGTTTCTCTTCCCTATAATTGTTAAAAATCGTCAATTACAAATAATTACCAATCTTTCAAAATAGCCTCAGAAAAACGTAAATGAGAAATTCAACATTCCGAGGAATAAGAACCAAGAAACTCGAGGAAAATTGTAAAATTGGGACAGACAATTCAAACAGTTAGACGTTATTAAAATTCCATTCTATACCGCAGAACTACAATTATGTAATCCTATTAAATCATCAGCATCTTTAGATAGTACTTTCTAAGAAATTCTCGCAAACGGTCCATGATTTTGCGAAATCTTCGAATGACTTTATCTCGCTACTCTGACGGCTGTACATCAAAAATTTAATTTGCGGACCCGTACCATAGAGATCAGAAGTTGTTCGAAGTTTCCTTTTCCCCATTTCTCTCT